AATTGCCTCAAGGAAAGAAGGAAATTGATGTCAAGTGGGTATACAAAGTGAAAATAAATTCGAAAGGTGAAGTAACTCGACACAAAGCAAGACTTGTGGCGAAAGAATTTCTACAGAAAGAAGGAATAGACTTCGATGAAGTTTTTGCACCTATTGCTAGGATCGAAATAATCAGGTTAGTTGTTGGTCTAGCAGAAATAAACAGTTGGCACATATGTCAGATGGACGTGAAGTGTGCATTCCTAAATGGATCCTTAGATGAAGAAGTCTATGTTAAACAACAAGTTGGGTTTGTGAAACATGACGAAGAAAGAAAGGTGTACAGGCTACATAAAGCCCTGTATGGATTGAAACAAGCTCCAATGGCTTGGAATAAGAAAATTGATAGTTTTCTAAGGGAGATGGAATTTGTGAAGTGCACAACTGAACATGGAGTATATGTAAGAAGAAGCAAGAGTAAATTACTTATACTATGTCTCTATGTAGATGATTTGTTGATAACAGGTAGCTGTAAAAGTGAGACCGAAGACTTCAAAGGTGATCTCAACAAGGAATTCGAAATTTCTGATTTGGGTGAGATTTCATATTTCCTTGGTATCGAATTCTACAAGAGCAGTAGAGGTTTGATGATGCATCAAAGAAGATATGAAGGAGAAATTCTCAAGAGGTTTGAGATGGAATAATGTAACTCAACTTCGACACCTGCAGAACCAAGACTGCAACTGTCGAAAGATGCAGATGAAGATGATGTTGATCCAACCCAATACAGAAGACTTATTGGATTATTGAGATACCTTTGTCATATAAGGCCTGACTTAGCATATAGTGTAGATATGGTAAGTAGATTCATGCAGAAGCCAAAGGTATCACATCTAGCAGCAATGAAGATGATACTAAGGCATCTCAAAGGAACTTTCGATTATGGCATTTTGTTTCCTGCAGTTGATAAAAGAAAAGAATGCAAGTTAGTGGGATACACTGATTCGAGTTGGTGTAGTGATGCTGAAGATCGAAAGTCAACATCAGGATATGTGTTTATGCTAGGTGGTTCACCAGTTGCTTGGAATTCAAGAAAGGAACCAGTAGTGGCATTATCATCATGCGAAGCAAAATACATAGCTGCTTCTCTTTGTGCATGTCAAGCAACTTGGATGGTGAACTTGGTCGAAGAGATAACAGGGAAAAATCATGGAGCAATTACCATGAAGATAGACAGCATGTCAGCTATTAATTTAGCGAAGAACTCAATAGCACATGGTCGAAGTAAGCACATCGAAATGAGGTTCCATTATCTTCGAGAGCAGGTAGCAGATGGGAAGATGAATTTGGAACACTGCAGAACTGAGAATCAGATTGCAGACATCATGACGAAGCGAGTGCAAGTCGAAGTATTCAGAAAGCTAAGAGCCATGATTAACATAGATAGTTTAGACACAATGAATTAGGTGGTGTGTTAAATTGTAATCTAATGTGTCGAAACTATGTGTCGAAAAGATTTGATTTGTTTTAGATTTAAATAGATTTGATTTAAGTCTAGAATAAATTAGATTTGATTTAGTAACAAAAAGATATTTTGGGCTTTGGGCTTAGGGTGTAAGCTCAGTTATAAATAGAGGGAGTAACCCCTATTTTTGTAAGCAAGTCAAGCAAGTCATTCACAGTATTTTGCAGTTGCAAAGTGAATAAGAAAGTTTTCACAGTTTGTGAGTAGAGAGAAACTCTGCAGAAATTATTTGTCTTGTCTTTTTTTCTTTGTTTGCCTTATAATTAAATTGTCATTGTGGTAGAAATTCATCATAGACTTAGGTGGATTTCCAACAATACCCAGTTAAGATCTTGTAAGAAAAACTCAATTTATTACAAAAAGGCAAAGCAATTTGAGAGAAGCACAAATTACCAAACAAAACATAACATGCACAATAGTATTTTGAACTCGGAATTTTAGGGTTTCAAATGAAATTTTGGGGGAAATCAGATTATAGAAAAAGTGAGGAAAACTTACTAAAAAGGAAGAAGATGAGCGAAAAACAACAACGCGATTTGGCTTACAACTCAAAAAATGAGAGCTTTCTCCTTTTAACACACGGTTCTTCGGTGCGTTTTCACTACCCTCTACAAGGAAAAGAAAAAGAATGAAAATGAAGAACTGATGATGAAGAGATATAAAGAGGGTGGTGAACCAGCTCACGGCGACAACCTTGTTGATACAGAATGTTAATAAATGAGGAAATGTAATAGAGAATAATATTAAAGTTTCGACTATAAAATTGTAACAAAGAATGATTGAATAATGATTATTGTAAATGATAGCTATTACTAGTCTATTTATACACAAAGTAAATTGTCACGTAGACTATAATAAAAGTAAATTTAATGACTGGGTTAAAAGGTAAAAACTAGGAAATACTAAATTTAACTACTACGCTAACAAACTCAGTTACAGAACTCTAAAAGCTAAACATACTTCTAGACGTAACCTCAGAAACTTCTACTTCTGATTAATAACAACTTTTGATTACATCAAACTACTGCTTCTAACTAAGCAGTCTTAGAAGCTTACAATTTCTGGCTAACAACTTCAAAAGCTCAAGTACTTATGAGCAACAACATCTTCTGAATATTAATTACTTTCAACATCATCTCTTAATTCATATTCAGCTAAGCAAAACTCTTCAACACCAATTACATCCCTCAAACGGATAAAGTGTTCAGTCTTGACATCCTTCGTCAGAACATCTGAAAGTTGCTTCTGGTTGCTATAGTGTGCAACTTCTAATACTTCATTTAGAAATACAGATTTTTCCTTGAAAACTCATCTGACCCTGATTGCTTTCTTCTCCTTTGAAAACTCAGTTAACTCATAAGTCTTGTTTCTTTGTGGTCTCTGGACTTGCTCAGAATCTCCTTCTGATTCTGTAACAGAAGTTCGACTACCACCAGAAACTTCACCTTTGTTAACTTCTGAACTTTGTCCAGAACCACTATCTTCAAAAGTACCATCTTCAAAAATCGGACCGCCTTCAGAAGCTCTGCCTTCAGAAGTTCCACCTTTAGAATCATGACCTTCATCAGAGGCTGGACTACCTTCAAAAGCTCATTCTTTAGAAGGTCCACCTTTAGAGTCATGATTACCACCAGAAACATGATCATCTTCAGAAGCTTGTCCTCCAGAGCCTACGTCTTCAGAGTTTTCCCTTCTAGAAGCATGACCACCACCAAATTCAAAATCTGGATCAGAATCAAATTCACCATCTGACTCATCTTTAGAGTCTCCAAAAGATTTTTCATCCCCTGACTCTGACTCACCTTCAGAACTTTCAAGTTCAGACTCATCTTCAGAAGCAGAATCTCCTTCAGATTCTAACTCATCTTCTGATTCTTCTTCAGACTCTGAATCACCTTCAGATTCTGACTTGTCTTCACCTTCAAAATCATCTTCTATCTCTGATTCATCTTCAGAAACGTCATATTCTAACTCATCTTCAGAGTCTTTAGCGTCATCTTTTGATTCTGACTTATATTCAAACACTCCTTCAGAGTCATCTTTTAAAAAACAATAACATTTAAACATTGAAGTATAGAAAATTATAAAATATTAAATTTAAGTATTTTTAATGTTAACAATATAATAAAATATTAAATTTAAGTATTTTTCATACACTTGTTACATGATGTTTATGATAAATAATTATTATTATAAATATTCTCTTTTTTAATGTAAAAATTAATTAATTAATTGAATATGTATAGCACTATTTTAATTATTACAAAATAAAAAAACATATAAAAATATTTAGTTGATAAGAAAATATTAAATAAAAAAGAACAATTTATAGGACAACAAATTATATACGCAATATTCTCTTTTTTTTCTACATCATATTTTTTCTTAGATATCTCTTAACGTATAATTATTCCAACGTTTTAAAATTCAACATGGGAGAATCAAATTTAGATTTAGAATGAAAATATAACATTGAAATTTACATAAGAGATAGAGATTTGGAATAGAAATATAACATTAAAATATTTATATTGCGATATGAAATGAAAATATAGTATTAAAATATTGATTGTGAAAATTTACCTAATATAATTATTTAATAACATCTATATGAGTGTTATTAAGGGTATTATTGTGTGTATAATAAATAATTTTGAGAGAGAAAACTAACCATCAATTTTTACTTCTTTTTTTAAAAAAATATTTATGGTATATATGATATCAATTTTTGTATTAGAGAGTAGAATGAAAATATAGCATTAAAATACTCAAATTGGAATATAGAATGGAAATATAGCATTATAATATTCGTCGTGAAAATTTACATGATATAATTATTATTATTTAGAAAAGAAAACTCATAATTTTTTTAATAAAATTGTCTTGTATTGATAATATAGAAAAGATCAATTTAAAAATTGAAAGAATAATGAGTAATAAATATTTGAGAGTATAATAAAAATATATAATAAATCATTTGTTGATATTTGAGGTGTATGAAATTAAAAATCAATTAATAATATGAAGAATTTTTTATATGAAAAAAGTGAAAGTTTAAGAATATGAAGAGTTTTTTATATGAAAAAAAATTAAAGATTTGAATAATTAAAAGCAATTAGGCGGGATATTGATGCAATTAATAATATGAAGAGTTTTTTTATATGAACAAAGTGAAGATTTAAGAATATGAAGAGTTTTTTATATGAAAAAAATAAATAAAAGATTTGAATATTTAAATGCAGTTAGGCGGGATATTGATGGATTTAATGAGAAGTTGAGGGGGAAACATGGTTGACATAGTATTGTGTTTAATATATTAAAGATTGGTTGTTATTTTCTATATCCCAATTAGATATTATTTTTAATTATGATTTAACATTCAGTATAATAAATTATTTTCGTTACAGGTGCTTCTTGGGAAGGTGTTAAATTTGTATTTGGAATGCCATGTATTATTGTATTATTAGTTTATAAATGGCGCCGAAAACATTTATCAATGTACGATGGAATAGAAGATTTTTTACGCGGGGACAATAGCATAATACCTATAAGGTACTCTTACAAAGACATAAAAAAGATGACAGAACAATTCAAGACAAAACTTGGCAATGGAGGTTATGGATCTGTTTTCAAAGGACAACTTCGAAGTGGTCGTCTTGTAGCAATCAAGTTATTAGATAAAGGCAAGTCCAATGGCCAAGATTTTATAAATGAAGTTGCTACCATTGGTAGAATTCACCATGTTAACGTGGTACATCTTATTGGTTTTTGTGTGGAGGGTTCAAAACGCGCTCTTATATATGAATTCATGCCAAAAGGGTCACTCGAAAAATATATATTTTCTCATATTGAGGAGGGATATTCCTTGAGTTGCGAAAAGTTGTATGTGATATCTGTTGGAGTGGCTCGAGGTATTCAGTATTTGCATAATGGATGCAATATGAAAATCTTACACTTTGACATAAAGCCTCACAACATCCTTCTAGATGAGGATTTCAATCCAAAAGTTTCTGATTTTGGATTAGCAAGACTTTGCCCTACAGATAAAAGCATTGTGTCACTAACTGCTGCTAGAGGAACCATCGGATACATGGCCCCTGAACTATTTTACAGAAATGTTGGCACAATATCTTACAAAGCTGATGTTTATAGCTTTGGGATGTTGTTAATGGAGATGGCTAGTAGAAGAAAGAACTTGAATGCATTGACCCAGCAATCTAGTCAAATTTATTTCCCTTTTTGGATTTATGATCAGTTACATGATGGAAGAGAAGTAACAATTGAAAATGACACAGAACAAGAGATGAAATTGGCAAAGAAAATGATGATTGTAGCTCTGTGGTGTATACAAACAAAACCTGAGGACCGTCCTTCAATGGATAAAGTGTTGGAGATGCTTGAAGAAGAAGACGGGGAGTTGCCAATGCCTAATAAACCATACTTTTGTCTACAAGATGAACCAGTTGCAGATGTTAGAGATCATAATATTGACAGCTCGTGGACTTCATATAGTACATCTGTAGGTGATTCCAAGATACTAACCTGATCTTTTCTTTTGTTCTGCTCTTAATTACATAACGTGTTGGTTCCAATTGGGTAGCTATACATAAGGACGTAATTTTCATCCATATGTGGATAAAACTCTTCTGCAATGGTGAATTTAACACCAAAGAACCGATGAGGCGTCTTTTCATTGTGATGGAGATTTTGTCTAGATGTCGTTGTTTTAATTTATCTATTGTATTGTTGTAAGATTTTAATCTGATACACTTTCAGATATTTGCGTTGATATATCTATATATTAATTATCAATACCAATTATTGTTATTCAAGATATATGACTATGAGTAATATATATTGATGAGAGAAGTACTCCATAATGTATTTTGATTTAAAAGTGTATGAATTTTGAGATAAGCACAATTTCCATAGTGGTTTGAAATATTCCTAAATCATTTGCACCAACTTATAAATATTGCATTGTCTTTGTGCTCTATTGAAAGTTGTGTTATTAGTGTGAAATGTCAAATGGATGAATTTGTAATACACATAAACATGTGTGGCAACAAGTTCATCAATTTGATATTTCACACCAATAAGACAACTTTCAAAAGAGAACAAAGACCTTGCAATATTTACAATTCGGTGCAAAGGATTTAGAAATACTTCAAATCACTATATAAATTGTGTTTATCTCGTCGATTCTACACTTTTAAATTAATATATTATGGAGTATTTCTCTCAATAATATTGTACAGTGGGTCATAATTCAACATGAGTATTTTTCTCTCGTTTATATTATGCCCTTGAAAATTTCTCTCATCAATATTGCTCTAAATATTGCATCGATATTGTTTTACCCTATCCCTAAGATTCATTTTTCCACTTTATATAGAGACCAATGGAACTTCTTACACCGATATTGTTTCACCTTATCCATAAGATTCAATTTTCTACTCCATAGAGGGACCATTGAAATTTCTCTTGTTGATATTGTCACACTACAACTATGATTTACATGAGCATGAGTCCCCATATATGAAAACGCAATGTAGTTTTACATATCATCTAACATATGTAATTTTGATTAGTTACATTACATACCAAAAGAATCTTTACGAAATAGTTTTACATATCATCTAACATATGATCACGATTCTTTTCTAGATTCAACACTCTTTGCTATAACAAAAGAATCTTGAAGTCTCAAATAAAGTCTGAAAGCTCGCAGGCCATGTTTGTCTGTCTGAGAGATTAGAGTGTTGTAAAAGTAAAGAAGTAATTTAGAAGTACTAAGACAACCCACACACACATCTAAAAAATCTTTTCAAATGTTTTTATCTTTAAAATTATTTTTCTAAATCAAGCCAAGTAATTAAAATATTGTCCAAACATTTTCCAAACTATTTTTGAACTAACCAATCGATTGTTATGATGTGACAATCAAATAAAGAAATTGTTCTAAGCCTGACAGTCAATTCGAGAAAAGCCAATTGATTAACAAATAACTTATGGTAACACATGAATGACTTGCAATGACTATATATTCAATATTTCCTTTTAAGGCTTGGTAATCGATTAAAAATGAGTTGGCCAATTGATTTGAGCTTTGTACCAATCAATACTCGTTAATTGGCCTGGTGGATAATTTCCATTTTTGGATTTTCCAACTTTATATTAAGGAGGTTCACCTCCACTTAATTCACATTATTTTTCGACGTTTTACATTTTCTTTGAAATTTATCTCTCTAAATTCTTTCTCTATCTCATTAGAAAATATGTATTTCACTTGATATCGCCTTAGTGCTTGAAAGTGAAGCTTTTCTTGGGAGAAAGAGTAATTGTAAGTGGTTGTGTTGTTTGTTTAACTCTTAAGAGTGTGATACTCTTGAGAGGATTGAGCTTGGTTCGTGAGAAAAATTAGTCTAAAAATCTTTGTTGTGGTTTATTGAGCTTTTCTGAAAAAATTTCTGTTTTTGGTTATTGAGATCAACCTAAAAATCTCTAAGAAGGTAATAACTTAGCCTATGGTAACAACTATTTGTTGTTGGAGATAAGGCTGAAAAAATATTGATGAGTGGTTTTTATATCTTTATTTACCGTTAACTTTAGTTATCTTTTCTTTATATTATCAAGCGTTTCATTTCATTCTTCTATATTTTATGCATTGGTTGTGTGTTTTACTGTTTTAAGGCTCACGAGAATAAATCATGATAAATCAGTGCAAAAAAGTGAAAACCTTAGAGTTTCGGAGAAAGTGCAAAAATCATGCTACATGGGGCCTGACACGGGTGGCCGTGTCACCAAACACAGGTGGCCGTGTCAGGATGAAAGGTGTGTAGAAGTTGGAAGCCAGAGGGCTGACACGGGCAGCCGCGTCACTTGACACGGGCCGTGTCAGCATGCTTGGGACTTGGAAAAATCAAATAAAATGCCAGAGGAGCAACACAGATGCTCGTGTCGCCTAACACGGCCCGTGTTAGGCTGCTACACTGATTTCAGTATTTTATGTTATTTTGCTTAGTAGTTGGTCTGTGATGGTGTTTTGGGTATTTCCAATCAACCTAAGTGAATATTTTCTATTTAGATGAGTTTTCACGATGAGTTAGGGGACTTTTTTTCCATCAGAGAATTTCTACGATTGAAGATTGAAGCATATGCTATTGTTGGAGAACAGAGACTTTTGATAAGCGAAAGCAATTGAAGATCAAAGTTCATCAGTAACTTGTAATGTCTAATTTTTATTCTAAAATTACTTTGAATGATATGAGTAGCTAAATCCCCCAATGTTAGGAGGTGTCCCTGATTTTATTATGTAAACGACTTAGAGTTCTAATTTCTTTAATACAATAGTTTTTCATATTCAATTTGATCGTTCAATATTTTTAATGATTTCCCTGTCGGACCAACAAGGATTGATTTACGGTTAACAATCAGATGGACCTTTATTGTTAAAGTTTTTGTACGATTAAAATATAGTAGATATCATGTAGGACTAGAAATACCCTTAGTTACCAGTTAATTCTTTATAACACCATTGCTTGATTTCATCATAATTCTCTAAGGACTTAGGGTTTATGATGGATGTTTAAAGTTTTTCCACTAAGGACTTAGGGGAAAATAAAATAGAGATATGGTAATTGAATATCATGAACTTGAAGAAATCAAGATTCAAGATTATTACAGGTAAATTATATACTTTACTCTAGCATGTTACTCATATCTGTGAAAAATCCAATTTATAATTCTGCTTATCTTTAAGTGATAATTTCCAAACCAAACCCCAATTTAAGTTTTTGTTGAATTGAACCACAAATTTAACTCGATACTTATATGCACTCCTCAAAATCGATATTCGGGGAATTTCCCTATTACTACTATAGAGAAAAATTAGTGCACTTGCTAATTTACCGATCAAGTTTTTGGCGGCGTTTCCTGGGACTGCCAAATTATAAAGTTTAATTTGAGTTCAATTAAAATTTTGTTGCTCTGCGACTAAAATTTTATTTTATATTATTTTTATATTTTGTTATTACTAATTTGTGTCTAACCTTTGTATGCGAAGAAAGCCCTCAGCTGAATTTCCTTTTGATGGGGAAATTGAAATAACTCTGCACGCAAGGCGCAGACGAGCTCAATTGGCTAAACTGAAATTAGAAGAAGAAGTTGTCTTAGATCATTCAGGTTCAGAGTCCGAAAAGGAAGAAGAAACTATGGGTGAAAATCCGCCAACACCCGAGAGACTTCTTGGGGACTATGGAGGAGAAAATGCTCCAGCATATCGATTGACTATTGTGAATCAACCGGTAATTGTGGCAAATTTTCAGCTACACCCTTCAATAATCCGACAGCTTGAGAACAGATCTTTCAGCGGGAAGATAAATGAATATGCGAATAATCATTTTTAAAGGTTTCTTACATGAGCACTACTTTTATGATTGAGGGACACTTTGAACAAGCAAAGAAATTAAGAATGTTTCCGTACACGCTTTCTGAAGATGCTGAAGAGTGGTTCTACTCATTACCTGTTGGGAGTATTACTACTTGGGAAGAGATGGAAAAGGCTTTTCTTGATGAATAATTTTATTCTTCTGTTTATATTTGCAAAAGATATGATATTGTGAATTTTAAGCAGAAAGAAGGAGAATCACTAGGTGATGCATATAAGAGGTTTAAGAGGTTATTGGTAGCATGTCACACTCACAACATGGATCAAACTAAGCAAATTCATATGTTTGTAAATGGCCTCAGAATGAAGACAAAATAGCTTATTGACACAGTTGTCGGTGGCTCATCCAACTTTACAACAGTCACTGGTATTAAGAAGATCATTGAAGTCATTGTTGCAAATGAATACCTGGAATTATATGGAAGGGTTACAAGAAAACTAGAGGGAGTGATTGATTTGAAGTTGGGAGCCAACAAACAACAAAGAGTTGAAAAAACAATTGTTGCAGAAGTGGAGAAAAGGTTAAAGGCAATGAAAATAGGTGCTCGACAGGCAGCTCAAGTTCAACAGGCACAAAATGTTGTTTGTGAAATTTGTAGTGGACCACACATTACTGTGCAATATCTTGTAACTTCATAACAAATTGAGGAGATAAAATTATTGAAGCAGAATAATCCGTATTCTAACACCTATAATCCGGGGTGGAAGAATCATCCCAACTTCTCCTTGAAAGAAAAATAGCAACAAGCTCCACAAAAGGCATAATGGAAGGTAGTTATTAAAAAGATGGCTTCCCACACCTCTCAATTCCAAGAAGAAACAAGGAGAAATCATCAGAATACCACATCTGTAATAAAAAATTTGGAAGTTCAAATGGGACAGATTGCACAACAATTATCTCTGCAAGCACAAGGAAATCAAAAAATTCATGAAAATGTTAATGCTGCCAGAACAAGGAGTGAGAAAGTTGCTAAAGAAAAAGAAGAGGAGGTAAAATTTTATGATCATATCATAGAAGTAGATTTAGAAGTGGCAGGTAACAAGAAAAAATAGGAAGAAGTGAGGTCACATGTGAAGCCAGCTGCAAAGGAGACTAA